AAACATTCATTACATTACTACAGAGATAACACTTAAAAACTGAAATAAGCTTTAAAAAAAAAAAAACATTTTAAAACAAACACGGACTAGGGACAGATTTTATTATAAATGTGCCTTGTACAGAGAGAAAGAATAATGTGACAGTTACTTGAAGCTCAAAAAAACATATGTTTTTAGCTTTGCACACTAACTTGCAGGGAATTGCCCATTTTAATGCTACCCATCTCTTAAGGAAGTTCAGCGTGGAGCACGGACAGCCATCGCTCGCTTACCAAGCTTGTTCTGGATGGCTTCGAGGATGCTGTCCGAGTTGCACAACATGCAAGGTGTTGTGGTGCAGATCTGGATGTGATACTTCCCCACAGGCTTGCGCTGATACATGGTGTAGAAGGTGGCGACCTCGTACACTCGCATGGGAGGGACCCCAAGCAGCTCAGCAACCTACAAGGGGTCGTCAGGCAGCACTCAGTTAGGTCATAAAATAGCCTTTTAACATCTCATAAGGTTTTCACTGAAAATTTACCAGTTACAACAACTGTGGATTTCCAGTATAGTGCCTCTGGGAAGGATTAGTTGATGCAAAAATGACAGATAAGTGGGGAAAGAAGAAATGTCTCTGCCATCACTGGGCCATTTCTGTGAATTAATGCTCCAATGTCCCCCAGCAAAGTAAGAAAGACTGAGCAAATGCCTGTTATCCGTGTGCTGGGTGGAAGGGGGACGTTTCCAGCAGCAGACAGAAACCGCTTCCATTGCCAATAACACCCTTTAACTGAAAACAAGGCCCCATTCTCTCAAAGGACGTCAACTTTCTTAGCCATAATCCAGCCATTTCTAAACCTCTCCTACATCACCCCAGTATTTGCAACCACTGTCCAACACCCTCATAATTTTTGACCATCCTACCTTGTTTGGCTACTATCCATTCATTCATTCAAACCTTTATTACAGACTTGGGATCCAGATAAAAGGCATCACACAAAATACATACATACAAAAATATGAATCACAGCTCTGAAATAACTTAATTAGTTAAATAACTCAAGCTAACTGAGCTAGTGATGGAATTCAATGAACGTATGAAATAGCTGGCCTGCCCATGAGCAGAGGTTTGGGAAGCAGAGTAGGATTCGAACATCCAGCCATCCAACAACCTACATTGCAGCCACTTCCCAGAGAACAGAAGAAATTCTTATTTTTGTCAATTTCAGTATGTTCTAATGTAACAGTACGACATGCCATAAATAAAGGTGGTGCAAGAGTTTTAACTACCCATATAACAATTTTAATTACTCTCCCACACACACCCAGCCTGATACGAAAAATCATATATGAGACAAAAGAAAAACAGAATATTACAAAAGCAAAAATAACTACAGATTGTCTGTGGTAAGAGGCTAGCAAGACATCATCTGATTTAAAAATGTTATGCCTCCATGTTAACAGGTCTCCATCGCAGCCAGGCACAGTACAGGGTCTCTACTGCGAGGCTCCGTAATTACAAATCCAAGGGTACATTACAATTAGGGCACACTATATATATTTTTGCCAAACTATTTGAAATTCATTTATCACGGTCAGACAGTTACTGAAGCAATTGGGGGTTGAGGGCCTTGCTCAAGGGCTAACAGTGACATCACTATGGGGTTAAGGGCCTTGCTCAAGGGCTAACAGTGACATCACTATGCTAACTGTGGGATTTGGACCAGCAAACCTCCAATCACAGGTAGTGTCCTAACCTGGTAATCCATATGTACGCTTTTAAGTCAAGTAACATTTGTTTTCTTCATTTATGTTTTTTTACCCCTGGGATCAATAATGTCAATCTTAGTCTTTTGTGCAGAGATGCACCCTTTCAGAAAAGTCTCCTCTGCCATCTTGAAACGCTTTGCATACCTTGTTCATGGCAGAGATGGGCAGCCAGCCATGCTGCCTCTGGGCCAAGTCTAGCACAGGGAGCGTAGCTGCGGCTTTGTGTCCTTCTGGGTACATCTTCACGATGGCGTCTATTCTCTGCAGAGGTGAGAGTGCGCATTTGGGATCGTATCTGTGGCCGAAATCTCAAAGATATCGAAATTTCCTCCAGCTTAGTTATCCAAAGCTTCCGTTCCCACAAGAACCACAGCAAGAATGATTAGACACTGGGCATTTAAAAATAAGCATTTCACTTTGTAGCTCCAGGCTTGGAGTCTCCACCATGGCTCCATGTGTGTGGAGTCTGCATGTTCTCCCCGTTTCCTCCAGGTACTCCGGTTTCCCCCCACAGTCCAAAAACAAGCATGCAATTGGAGAGTGAGTGACCGGTGTGTGAGTGACCGGAGTGTGAGTGACCGGAGTGTGAGTGACCGGAGTGTGAGTGACCGGAGTGTGAGCGACCGGAGTGTGAGTGACCGGAGTGTGAGCGACCGGAGTGTGAGTGACTGACTGGTGTGTGAGTGACTGACTGGTGTGTGAGTGACTGACTGGTGTGTGAGTGACTGACTGGTGTGTGAGTGACTGACTGGTGTGTGAGTGTGCTATGGGATGGATTGGTGCCCCATCCTGGGTTTTTTCCTGCCTCGCACCCATAGCCTCCGGGGTAGGCACCAAAATAGTTCTGTGTTGCGAGAAACATACCTTGAGATTCTCCTCAGTGAATTCAAAGGGGGTGTCTGGGTTGTTTTCTGGAGTGTCCCTGTGCTGAAGAATAAATTAAATTTCAACGTCAGCTGTTCTGTCATGTGGGGTTCGGATGAATGTTTTACAGAATATGAACAGGAAATATGAACAGGATCTGAATTAGCCATTTTTTTTTTTTATAACAAATTTAGCTATAAATCTACACAACGATTCTCTTATCATACTATTGATGTCTTAGAAATGTATTACGACTCTGATCAGATATCTGACAATGTTCTGCATGACAAAGCATCGCACACAAGATTCTAGACTGGAACTTCATGCAGTTGTGTGTTGTTTCTTTCAGCTAGAGTAGACACTGCGCCTTTGTTAACAGTATTTTATAACTGCATTACTTCATTCTTCTCCCCTCAGATACATGATCGCTTGGTATGTAACTGAACAGAGTAACACATCTATGAGAAAATACCAAGCCTAGTTTAATCACGGTATCTCTTTTAGGTTAAGACTCACATCTAAATTCACTTTAGGTTCTTTATTAAAAAAGTAAAATAAGAGCAGAATTATACATACATATAAACATATGCATATATATATATATATATATATATATATATATATGAATTAATCTCAAAATGAATAATATTTACTTTACATACTTAATTTCAAAGCATCAGTACAGACAAGTATGGTATATAAATTATTTAAACAAGACATAACAATGGTAAATAATCAGCACAGCTTAGCATCAGATGACAACAGCTAACAAATATTTACCTGAATAAATATGAACTCTGTATAACTTCGAATTTGTAAAGAAGGCTGAACTAGTCTCAGCTTACAGGGTGCTGATGATCATATCACATACATTGACGAAGGACTCTGACTCACCACAAAGAGAGCTCCCCCAGCTCCTGAGCGGACGGCTGACCCATGCAGGCCTCGAATTTGCCTGGCCTGCAAAGAGGGATTAGTTTATTATCTACTGTAAGCATGCTGCTTTATATTAACTGAAGTGATCAAGATACAGTGCAGAAAACGTATCATGTATCTCCATTTGCCACAATGCAAATAACTCTGGTACCATTAATGCAGAACTAAGAGGTGTGTGATACATGACATTAGAAAAGTGATACTCAATAGATCTGCAACATGTAAATTGGTGTAAAATTGAAAAACAAAAGTCAGAAGAGGTATTCTGAACTGTGAAATCTCAGGTTGCTGGAGGGAGGACAATGCTGTCACACCCCCTGGCCTGAGTTTGCATGCTCTTCCCAGGTTGTGTGGGTCTACTATAAATTCTTCCACTATCCAAAGACATGCAAAGAAACAAAGTAGCATTTCTAAATTATCCATAGTGCGTGTGTGTGACAGCATATGGATTACAGCATAGTACTCAAATACCGCAGTCATACTCTCTTTTCCCTTCAGTAATCAGACACATTGTCAGAAAAAGCCGACTTGCCTGCAGAACACAGTACATCTTAGCCACTACTAACCAGTAAGAAAAATCGTTCTGGCTGCTAAAAACCTACACCATGAGCCTCCATATGCTGGAACGTGTTTTATTTTTGTTGTATTTATATGTTCGTACAATTTTTTCACTCATGCCCAGTTTAATTTTTTTGCAGTGTCTTCCGTTCTGTTTGCCCTTGTCCTTCCTAAGAATTTCACAGGCCACCATTCCTCATTAAAGCAATCACAGACATTTAAATAATTTAGAAGTTATTTCTGTCAAAACGGTAATCTTTATACATACCGTACGAGAGACGGCAACTCGGACTGCAGAAGAAAGAAACATTTTTGCCAGAACGATTTGCCCTGCCGCCAGTTAGCTAGCTTTAGCCGGTTCTGTATGCTAGCAGGGAGTTGAAGCGACCCAGCATCGATTAAGAGAGTCTGGTGTACGTCATGTCTCAGGATCCGTATAATCGAGCACAGAGAACTGTCGAATGTTGGCGGCTGGCCTTGAAGAAATCCAGAGACGACGATGGGGCAGAAGCAGTCTGCGAAATACCCGTCAATATTCAGGGGGTCCCCATCTCCCTATTGTTGCACAATACCAATCTTGAAACCCCCTTAAAATTTTGCTTTTGGGGCTTTCAGGGGGTCTCGTGGGTTAATCGGGGGTGTCGGACCCCCCCGTATTTCACAAACTGGGCAGAAGTACACTTACTGTATAAGAATTAAACGCCATCATCTGAATTGACCATCTTTTCAGTTTGTCTAATATTATTTTGTTTAGATACCGTAATGTGTTTAGTTTTGATATGGTTTAATTGAACAATAATAACGCAAGACAATTTGTAGTTCCTCCTTTTTTTCCCCCGTCAAAAACCTTTATTAGACCGAATTATTTCCCTGAAAAAATATGTAGACATAATACTCTCATGTGTTTTTGCAATAAAATCTTTGTTTATGGATGAGACGGACGTTTTTTCTTTTCTGTAGAGGATTCCAGATACAAGCAGTAAATTGCTCATTTTTCCCCTAAACACTTGTACATTTAACGAAACAATATAAAGTTACAAACATCGTTTATTCGATTACACAAATGTACAATTCAATTGCTTATTTTTAAAGTGGCCTCGTTTTATAAGGCAGATGTGTCATGATCTTGGCAGGAGGCTCTTTCATAACACCGCGGTAGTTACAGACCAACCCGTTGCATTCTAGCACCCGATGTTCAGACTGTAATACGATCAAGAGACGAGTGAAGGACTGGCCAATGAAAAGGTGGGAGTGCCAAAGGGAGCTGTCTGATTGGATGTTTCGGCACTTAGCATACAGTAATATTAACTCAGGACTAGAATTAGGGGCAGGTACAACGTAGACGTGCATATTAAACGGGAAAAAGGCCTTAGGCCTTCATACTGCTACTGTAGTTACACCGGACGTATTTGCAGGTCATCTTGGTTTTTCATCTAGCTCACATTAAGAACTTTCAAGAATGGTGCTTCCCGGATCTCAAGAGAAGGTGTTCCAGCCTCCAAAAGACTTACAAAAGGATGCACATATACCGGACTTTAAAACATATCTCAGACTATACAAGAAATCCACTGAGGACCCAGAAGGTAAGTTTACATATTTCTGTCATTTGTTTTTCATAGTAACATTTTTACATTTTACATTTCTTTTTCTATTGCGAGTATTTTCAAGGATACGTGAAATTATGAAATCCAAATATAAGTTTATTTGACAACTGTGAAAAGATACTTGAACCTAAGATGTATAGCTGTTTTCTATAACTATGTAAGAGTTTTGCAAATTGTAGGTTCTGAATAACTGTTTTGTTTCCATTTGAATACGGAATTGCTTCATTACCGTGTGATCGTCTCTGGGTTACGTGGCTTGCTTTGCTATAAACAATTTCTGTTGTGGAAAAAAATAATATAATTTTGGGGGTGCATCATTACTGCAAGGCATATACATTATAATGTGCTACACATTAATGTATCGCAAGTGGTTCTGAGAAGGATGGGCATTCTTACATTGCATTTACATAGAAACAAAAAGTAAAGTTCACAATAAACATCAGTAAAACAATTTCATTCACTTCATTTGAGTATGATTTACGTTTCATCTTTCCCACTGCTTTCCCAAGCATTTAAAAAAGTATCCATGAAGTGATTTGCATGTTTTTCAGAGAATAGTATCCTTCTCCTTGTCTTTGAAAGCAAAGCTGCACTGTCCCTCTCATTTCACAGTATTCTGGAAAGAAGTTGCTGAGGGTTTCTATTGGAAGACGCCCCCAACAGGACAGATCCTGCAGTATAATTTTGACATGACAAAAGGGAGTATTTATGTGAAATTCATGGAAGGCGCAAAAACCAACGTGTGCTACAATGTCCTCGACCGAAATATCCTGGAGAAGAACCTTGGTGAAAGGGTGGCATTCTACTGGTAAATAAAAGCACTGTTTCCCTATTGTACACTGATACAGGTTCAGATTGGGCTGTGGTCTAACTGAGAAAACCAGGTGCACTGTTTCAGAAGATATGTTTTCCGTCATGGACTCGAGGCATGGCGTAGGCAGGAAAAGGTAGTGATCCACTCTGCAGCTCCTAGACAAGGGGCTTAATTAAAGAAAGGGAACATGCTGAGGTAAATGATGAAGCAAAAAAACAAACAGGGAAAATCTACAGAACTACCTAGGAGACTAAACTAACACAACCAGGGAAACAGAACTAACCTAGAAGATACCAAAAGGACGTAAATTCAGGGAAGCCGGCAACACCAGGAGTGAGAACAGGCACATAGTACAATGACTGACTAACAACCTGAGTGAGAGCAGGCACTTAAATACACACAGGGAATCAAGGGCAAACAAAGGACAGGTGTAACCCATAATCAAATGAACCAATCAAAAAAGCAATACAGGTTAACAGGAAATAGGTGGGGTGGATTACAATTAACTAGCACAAACGCTGCTCTAGAAAATATGGAACATAAGAGAGCTGACTATACTAGGAAAGAATAAGAACAAATACAAGTAAACCCAAAAAAAAAACAGGACACAAGCAGGGAAAACCTTGGACAGAAAAACTAAGACAGAAAATTTAACAAAACACTGGGGAATAGAAAAACCAAATAAACAGATGAGGTACTGTAGACCAGGAACTAGCCTCAAACCCATGATTTCAAGATTACAGCCTTAGTGCCATACACTGAACCCATTGAGCTATGCAGCAAGCTAAGGAGAATGGAAAACACACAAGGGTCCAGCACAATGACAGAAGAGGGAACGGGATGGCCAGCAACACCTGCTGGCCAAACAGAGAAACAATATGAAGGGCAGGCATGGGTGGGTGCTGACCCTGACAGTATTCATAGAATTTCTCCCTGAGATTAATAAAGCCCATCTTAAGATAAAAAATAAGAATATGATTAATTGTAATTATGTATTGCATTTTTAAAATTCCTTTACAACTGGCCTGTCAATTTGACTGTTAGTGTGTACACTGGCTGTGACCAGACCAAAGCCTTCTATGATATGGTAACAGTGTAGCACAGTTCCAAAGCCTTCTGTGATATGGTAACAGTGTAATGCAGTACCAAAGCTTTCTGTGGTATGGTAACAGTGTGACACAGTACCAAAGCTTTCTGTGGTATGGTAACAGTGTGACACAGTACCAAAGCTTTCTGTGAAATGGTAACAGTGTGACACAGTTAGACTTAAGAAGTACCAGGTCTTTGTTATGTGGTTAATTTACTCAACTGTGGGTTTGCAAAGAAACTTCTAAAAATGATCTACTTTTCATGAAAATTATATGTTTTGTAGAACTACAAAGCTTTAGATATTTTTTTCACTATGAATTTCAATATCACAGTTAAGGACACGACTGTTTTAGATTATCCCGATTAATCTCTTGCAATTTTCACAATACTATCTCCCTTGACCCCTACATTTTCATTATGTAGTACAAAAGATATGCTGCAAGGTTACAGTTTCATCATCGCGGCAGTTCCAGAAAGCGCGAGCCATATGCAGAGAGACATTTTTGGGAAAAGTAGACTGCGCTCAGAGGGACCGCTTCCTGGAAATGAGTATTTCAGTCTGGCAGGCTAAGAATATTTTGGCAGAAAATCAGCCCCTCCTCCACTTTTTTTATCCTGAATTGACCACATGACAGTTGGACAGAGAATACTAGTCAGTCATTTAGGAGCAGTCATGGAAGTTACTTCCTTGACTTGATATGATTCAGCAGTTTGCTCAAAGTAATGACTTTATTATTTTGTGTGGCCAGCAGGATCAGCGGACGTGCCTGGTTGCAAGCCGAGCTGGGAGCTTCCTAACTAAGGAAGATGAAGGTGTAATACTGACACGTGTCTGCCAGGCAGCCTGTAATCATAACGCAGAACAAAAATAGTGAATTTAAATAATGCGAAATTAAAATGTTGGGTGTTATTTATTCTGCAAAACATTTGCATTTTACCTCAGAAGAAAGAGGATGGCTGAGGATAGACATAGCCATTTAAAACCTAAATTTCAAATGAATAATCTGTTGTGGCTGCACTGTGAGATCATAAAGAACATCAAAGTCATCCAGGGTGAGCCATACCAGCGTCTGGTGCCATCCACGGAAGCATTTGGTAAATGATTAAAGTTTATGCTTGGCACTGATTTGCGGCCCCAAATATCCCCTGTAGTTGCACTGGCCGTGCCCATGGGAGTGCCGTCTGTAGTGCTGATGTTGCAGGTCGCAGTTCAGACAGGTAGCCTGCCATGTTCCACGTGTACGGCTGAGAGCTGCAGCACTAATGTCGCAAGTCACAACTGCAGTTCAGACAGGCAGACTGCTATGTGCTGCATGTGGCCCTGCAAGCTGAAGCACTGACACTGCAGGTTGCAGTTTAGACAGATGGTCTGCCTTGTACCGCATGTGGCCCTATGAGCTGCAGCACTGATGTTGCAGGTTGCATTTCAGAAAGGCAGTCTGCCATGTGCCAATTGTGGCCCTCTGAGCTGCAGCACTTATGTCACAGACTGCAGTTCAGATAGTCTTCCATGTGTTGCATGTTGCCCTGTGAGCTGCAGCACTGATGTTGCAGGTTGCAGTTCAGTCAGACAGTCTGCTATGTGCTGCATGTGGCTCTGCAACCTGCAGTCCTGACATTGGAAGTTGCAGTTCAGACAGGCAGTCTGCCACATACTGCATGTGGCTCTGTCAGCTGCAGCTCTGATGTTGGAGGTTGCATCTCAGACAGGCAGTCGGCCATGTGCCATTTATGGCCCTGCAAGCTGCAGCACTGACGTCACAGGTTGCAGTTCAGACAGGCAGTCGGCCATGTGCTGGGGGGATATTTACCTAAGTGCAGTCTAGACTGAGCACAAACCAAATATGGATGACAAGGGCAAGCATGTAATCTATTACCTAAAGTACAGAAACTTTATTTTAATATGTCCTACCTTAGGCCAAACAATGAAAAAGTTTGAGAGCTTTGGCCATGTGTGCTGTCCGTTAAATCACGTCCAGTTAAAAAGTGTGATCAGCGTTACTATTGCATAACCATGATTAGTGTCACCTTAAATGAACTAGTTGGCCAGGATCTGAAATGTTTGACTTTGACTGAATCCGCAGGGTCGCGTCACTTTACTTGTTCTGTTTCTCCAGGGAAGGAAACTCACCTGATCACCATCTTTCCATCACTTACAATTCACTGCTGGCACAAGTGTGCAAGTGCGCCAATGTCCTCAGGCACATGGGTACTGTATTCTCCATTCTGTGCTTAATTAATGCATTCCAGCCATATGCAATATAAGCAACTTACCACATAACAGGTCATTCTGAAGAAAATCAGCTGATGTAGCTAATCAGTGGTTATAAGATGCACAATGTTACAATCTTACTACCAAGAAGATCATTATTATGAATGCTGTATGTGAATTACCTTCTTTTAATTTAAAATACTTACATGTGAAATACAGTCCTGTACTAGTTAAGTGTGACACTGTCAGAGTGCTATTTTTAAAAATGATTAATCTGATTTAAAATCAGAATTATGTGTTCTTTTTTCCGTGCTAGGTGTTGAGAAAGGAGAGCGTGTTGCTATCTACTTACCCATGATTCCGGAGCTGGTGTACACGATGCTGGCCTGTGCCCGTATAGGGGCGGTTCACTCCATAGTGGTAAGAACACTTCCTTACCACGGTAGACATACCTTCTCAGCCAGGTGGCTCGGCTCGGCTCGCCGCTAGAAACCTACACGTATACCTGCACATCTTGGCTGCCTTACTTGAAAAACAATCGCCATGTCTCTATAACCACCTACACGAACAAACTCCCGTAGGAATATTTTCTAAATATATTTTATAACAGTAAAAACTTTTTTCTAAATGTCATTCATCTTGCCTCTGTGTTGACCTGGATACTGTCTGCTTCCTACAATGTGTATTATTGGTTACCAATAAGCTTATAAGCACACAGAGGTTGCAGAATACATGATGGAGAATGAGATGTGCTTCTGTGAAAACAGACAGGCATCAGCTGGCAAAGTGTCCTAATGTTTTGCAAGTTTGTTTATGACACATGATGTCCACTGGTGGACATTGTGGACTTTGTATTAATTCTTGTATTTTTCCAACTGGAACTAATTACCAGTATGCACGATGTATGTGTGGGTCCAGCACGGAGGGACATGGGTGGAGCTGCACCTGACCAGTCTTCCTAATGATTGGTTTCTACCTTTTGGGCCACAACAGGATTGGCTGATAAGCTCACCCACGGGGCTCCAGGACAGCCCACTTAAGCTCACTTTTGGACTGGCTGTTACTCTGGCTTTGAGTGGTTCCACTGTGCTCAGTTTGCAGGGTTCTCCTCTGAGTCCCTCTGTGAGCGGATTCTGGACGCCCAGTGCTCCTTCTTGGTGACGGCCGGTAAGTATCATGTTGTTCCATGATTCCAGTTTTCTGTCAGGGTGGGCTGGCGTCTGTACACTTCATTTGGCTTTTAAGTGTGTGTCTTACAGTGGATTGGTGTCCCGTTCAGGGTGGGCTGGCGTCTGTACACTGCATGTGGCTTTTAAGTGTGTGTCTTACAGTGGATTGGTGTCCCGTTCAGGGTGGGCTGGCGTCTGTACACTGCATGTGGCTTGTAAGTGTGTGTCTTACAGTGGATTGGTGTCCCGTTCAG